TATGGAGTAACTTCCCTTCACTTAGGTTTTGAGGAACCTTAGTTCCATGAGTTAGGATCTTTCTTGTATGAAGTTTTGGATGCTATATTGTTTGATTATAATCGAATGATGCATGTTTATTGAGTCAATTGAAGTCTGATCAACTTTTCCTGATTCCTGCTGCAATCTGAGATAGATAGAATCTGATTAGGTTGCTAGAGTTTCATCATTCGGTAGTAGTAGATTGGCTATACAAGAGTTAGCCAGTTTACTGCTTTGTACTTCACTGGAAGAATTCCTCCCACAACAAGAAGGGCCATCAGATCTTGAGTTACCCATGGCATCCTTCACGGGCCACTCTGCAGAGCCATGCTACACTTCACTGGAAGATCCGAACAAACAATTAAGGCTTCTCGTGGAGCAGTTTGCTCGAGACACTGAGAAATCATGCTCAAAGATGGATCTTCAAATCAAAGCCCTTGCCACTTCCGATCCCTCATTTCTCCATGATATGGAGGAGACTGTTCAGTGCTCAGCGAAGCAAACAGAGTGGGTGAAGCAAGTTTGCTCGCATCTTGCCCAAGATCACCTTTCTGCTACCACGCTAGAAGAGGTGGAGGATGACAAAGGCTATGGGAGCGTTGAGGAGCATACAGAATTTATCACAGAGAACTCTTATGATAATCATGATCAGGAAAGTCCTTTGGTTGCAGACCACACCTTTCCTCATTTATGCTCTAACATGCTGGGCCCGTGCGAGGAGATGCAAGATGATCCCATTGAAGAAATTGCTTGGCGACTTGCTCTCCAATCTGTTCTAGAAGAAGAAGAGCGAGCAAGGATGAGGAAGGAAGTTGTGGATGATGAGGAAGAAAGAAAAGAAGAGGTGGTTCTTGATCTTTTCCCAAGGGAGAGACCACATTTTGAAGAAGAAAGGGGGGTTGAGGAAGCAATTGGCGTCCAGGCTGAGGATGAAGTTGAGGTGGAAGAGGCTTGCACCGGCCCTATGTTACATTTGATATTTCCACCAAACTTTGAGGAGCTGCTTGGCAAGGACCCATTTGCAGTGTCTTTTTGCCAGACCAAGGCCACATCAACATCGGTCCCTCTTGGTGGACGCGATGGTGGCCAATCGATGCTGTCATATCTGGTTTGGGGCAATGAGACGAGAGAAGAGAAGAAGAGGTCTCGAGGGTGGAGACCTCATCTGCATCAAGTACATGAGCCTTCATCACCTGCCACACCACATGCTCGTGACTTGAGACTCCACCTCATCGACGAGAACCTCAACTTCAAGGAGGTTCTAGCATGGACCGAAACTTAGGAGTCATCGTCCGGCTCACGACGTGAAAGAAGCGCTTGTTGGGAGGCAACCCAACCAGTCGGTTTGCATTTCTTTCTCTATTTCTCCTCGGTTGAGTCAGTTTTGTTATTTGATTTTAGAGTCAATAACTCAACCTTTGTGAGATTTCGTGTGGTGTTTGTGTTCTGGTTACTCTCTCTTCCTGGAATGCACCGCCTGACCCGTCCATCATCATTCACCCTTGATCTGGTAACTTCGTTATACCCTCCTTATCTTTCCTCCATTGAGGACAATGTCGTGCTTAAGTGTGGGGGGATGTTCGATTATGTATGCGGGTGAATGTTTGGCTATTTGTGTGCTTGGAGCCTAGTCCACTGTCCAAATTTTTAAATTTGAGGGCTCCATGTACGTGTTTCCTTGCAAATTGCCTGCTCGGTATGCTTTGAATCGACAGTCTCTATAGTAATGTGCAACCTAGGGAGGTAGTGTAGCACGATAGAGGATGTTGAAGTATAAGATTTTTCCTATCTAGCTCTCTGCTGTGTCAGTTGATTTTGTGAATTAGTGGAGCTAAGACCGTTGAATTCATGTGGTAATGTGGACTCGGTTTGAATTGTGTTATGGACTCGTGTATTGAACAGGGTGCTCATGTGAGAAATGAAAAGCAGTTGGTCCTCCATGTCGAAATCATTGAAATCTTAAACATGGGGTAAGCCCAACGTGTGTGGCACCGTTCATTGCACAAAGTCGGGTTTTGGAAGAGATTTTAGTGATCCTTAGTGGGGTACTCCTACAAGGTGAAGCTAAGCTGTCTCTAGTACAAGTAAAATTTTCACCCGTTGAACGGTTTGCCTACTCGAGGATGTGTTTTTAAGGGCACGGATAGAGCTTCCGACCCCCCTTAATTTCATTGACCCTCCACACGAGTTGAGGGAAAGGAGTTAAAAGAAGTACTCTGGCGAGCGCCAGATGTACAGAAATTGCTCTTGCTCGACTAATAAGGGTCGACCGTGCAAAAGACTGCAGTTGGAACCCCTGCTAAGTGAAAGAAAAAAAACAAGGAAAATGTGAATGAAAGTGCAAAAAGGGGTTCCAACGGTGAAATGAAGTGAAAGAGCACCCTGGTACAATGAGTCCTTGGTTGTGAATGGTGTGAGTCCCTTTATCCATGGACTGACTGTCTTACTTCTACTTTTTCTCATGATCCTGGCTTGAGTCTAGTACTCGCATTGAGAGAGATAGGGAACGTCTTAGAAGACCAGTTGACCTCGTAAGCTGCTATATGATCTAGGAAATCCTCTACCGACGATCGGGGTTGTATGTTGCTATAGAGCTCTGGATAGCTGCATTGGTTTGAGTTAGGTTTGCTTGGGGACAAGCAAACAGTTAAGTGTGGGGGGATTTGATGACTCGGTATTTGCACATGTTTTCCCCTTTGTTTCTTGATTGTTTGAGCTTGAATTATCGTGTCTTTGGCCTATTTTACGCTATATTGTGTTCCTCTGTCACATTTCAGGTCCTAGCACATAAAGTGAAGCATAGGCGCAAGTTTCAAGTCAATCAGAGATCAATTGACGATTCGGGAGAAGAAACTCGGGTATGACCTGAAGAAGAATGGATCTCTACCTCACTTTATGGACAAATAATCATGCAAGCTTGTCATGAAAAGAAAGAGGACGAGACTACGAGCGTCTGGGATCAAACGGCGACTGATTCGGAGTTCGGACGAGGGAGAAACGAAGCATTAAACAGAGGCTGAGCAAGCCACACGGGCACAACCCACACGGCCGTGTGACCTGGCCATGTGGCCGTGTGGAAATCACCGAGCCTTCACACAGGCAGCTGGGAAAGCCACACGGCCGTGTGCCCTGGCCGTGTGAGTCGGAAATTGCTGGTTAACACCCGATTTTCAGCAAAAGGAAAGGGGGAGAGCTGGGTTTTGGATCCCAAACACCCAAGGGACGAACCTTAGAGAGAGAGAGCGACTTGGGAACATTCTTGGAGCTATTTTGGAGGATTTCTTCGCCATTGGAGCTCGGGAATCAAGCTTGGAGATGGAGATTGAAGATCTAGATCAGATTTCTGCAGTCTCTCTCTTCTCTATGGTGTAACTTCCCTTCACTTAGGTTTTGAGGAACCTTAGTTCCATGAGTTAGGATCTTTCTTGTATGAAGTTTTGGATGCTATATTGTTTGATTATAATCGAATGATGCATGTTTATTGAGTCAATTGAAGTCTGATCAACTTTTTCTGATTCCTGCTGCAATCTGAGATAGATAGAATCTGATTAGGTTGCTAGAGTCTCATCATTCGGTAGTAGGAGATTGGCTATACTAGAGTTTGCCAGTTTACTGCTTTGTACTGGAATCCAATTCCAGTAGTGGAGTTCTGTGCTTATTGCTTCAGCTTTCTATCCCGGTGAAGACTAGTCGTCTGCCGGATAGTTGGACTGAGAGGGCTTGGTCAGCTTAAGAGATTCCAAGCTAATTTAGGATCTTCCGCAGTTTAATCAACAGTAGATCAACCAAAGGTAATTGCAACTTGGACCTAATTGAGGAGCTAGGGGGAATCATACCTAAGTGAGTTCCCAACTTGTAATTAGTAGAGTAGTCAGTAGAGTAGTTTATCAATCAATCCTTAATCTAGTTTGCTAAATAATGAACTGAAGCTGAGTAATAGTAACTCTAGAGACCCGTGGATTCGATATTTATTACTTGTGCCACTATACTGCAGTCCCTTTCATTGGTTACACTAGGCCATTGTTAGGTGTTGTGTTTTAGAGCATCATAGGGCTTGGCTTCAAAGGCAGATTTTGGGAAGATTTCCCCAAGGAAATCCCAGCTCAAGGTTTAAGAAGAGAGGAGGAATCCCCAAAAGATGATTTCCACCTTTTTCCCCTTTTGTTCTTCCCACTTCTTCCATGGAGTAGTCCTCCTTTCACTTGGGTGTAGTGAAACCCTAACTCTACCATGTAGTTTTCTTGTATGTGGGTTGGATGATTGATATTGGGTATTGTTCAATTTAATGTTTGAGGCATTATTCACCATGATTTTGCATGCTTGTGCTTAGCAACTTAGGGGCTGTGCATATGTTGTGCTTAGCATCCTAGGTATTGTGCATAATTGTGCTTAGCACCCCTATGTTTGTGCATTTAGGACCTAGTAATCTAATTTGCCAACTTAGCCTAGTTTAGAGAGGAAAATCCCCCTTTTTAAAGGAGACTCAATCGAGTTGGTTTTCCTTCCGCTTTCCAGGCCACATAAACTAGGTTCATTTAGGGAAACCCTAAATATTGAATTGAATAAGTCGATTAATCGTGGTTTACCCGTCCGACCTTAGATTTGAGTGAAGGAGTAAGCCGATTACCGATTGTCTAAACCGAGAGGGTCGAGTGACACGACCTTTCATCCTCACCTCGGTTTAGCAATCGAGAATGTGGTCTCCGACCACATACGCTTTCCTCTGCAGTTCATGATTAACATGCCCAAGGCAATCGTTCCAACCCACGTAGCATGGTAGCGGTTAGAGGGAAGCGAAACCCAAGTGACTTTACCACAAAAGAGTTTTCAAACCAAAGTACCTTTGCTTTCTTTCATTTCAATTGGCAAACCTTTAAACCAAAGTTTTATCGCTAGATAATGATTTCAATAACCGAAGTAGGGGTAGACGGACCGGCCCAGGTCGATATATAAATACATGCCCTATACTCAACCTGATTAGAGTTTAAAAACTTGGGCTCTAATTGGGGTTTAATTATAGTGTAGTTTCGAGCGAGTCACCTAGTAAGCAGATTACTCAAAGCCTGATATTTCCCTCACTGCTCTGTCATGGAAGCTCCGGTGGGGTGGTAGCCTAGCTACATATAGAAGAGCCTTTTATCGGCTAGGGACATGATCGCTTCGGGAAGTAGATGGAGAGTGGGAATGGGTACAAACATCAACATATGGGAAGATAAATGGATCCCAGACTATCCCACAAACAAGCCAAACCAAACCTCTGATTGGCAAAGAAGTGTGGAAAAAGTCTTTTATTTGATTGATCATGAGCAGAGATGTTGGAGGAGGGATCTGCTAGAGGTTCTATTCGCCCAACAGAACAAGCAGCCATCATGGTCATCCCTATTCCCATCCATCTAGTTCCTGATGCCATATGTTGGATGCACACAAAGAATGAAAAATATATCGTCAAGATAAGCTATCGTAGAGCTCTAGAAATGGATACGCAGGAGGAGAGTCAAACAAACTACGAGGAAGATGAGGATGAATAATATGGGGGAATCAGCTCTGATACATTGAACAAATTGTGGAAAGTTCAAGCTCTACCAAAGGTTCACTACTTTCTCTGGAAGCTAATGCACAACACCCTCCCAACAGCTGCAAATGTGGAGAAGAAGCTCAAAGAAAAAGTTAAGCCAGACTGTCCTTACTCTGGTCAGAAAGAGACTCGCGTCCATTGCTTTCTTCTCTGCCAATAGTGACTCCTTATATGGCATAGAAGTGGCTGGGCCGATAAAATCCCGGTGATAGATGATTGTCGGATGGATGTTTGGCTGAGGAAACTTCTGACAGAGGAATAGGATGAGAATATGAGTAGAATTGAAGCTTTGTTATGCTATTTATGGATTGAATGGAATAATCATCAACATAACGGCCCAAAACTTGAAGAGGAGGAGGTGTTCTGGAAGTTCTAATTATTCATCCAATCTTACAAAGATGCCCAACAGAGTAGTGCAACATCAGGTGGAAGTCGAGCCCAGCAAGAGGGGAAATGGGATCCCCCACCCATCAGCTATTTAAAGGTAAACGCTAATGCAGGTTGCCTTAGAGACCTGGGAATTGGGTTGGGGTTGGTTGCGAGAAATTGGGAAGGAAACATCACCCTGGCAGCACTCAAAAGAGTGGCAATAAAATGGTCTCCTGAAGCGCAGAGGTGAATGCAATATTGTTTGCCATTGAGAAAATGAAAGAAGCTCAATTGGGATCCTATATTCTGGAATCAGATTGCTTGAACCATATAAATAAACTGAATGGTGATGAGCATTTTTAAGAGACTGGTATCCTCTGTGAGAACATAAAGCAAGCAACATATGAAGGCGATTGTCGCGAATGGAGGTTTATTCCCCGTTTAGCAAATATGGTGGCCCATAATGTTGCTCATAGCCCGATCAGTGTGAATGATTGTATTAGTTGGGTAGGTGATGTACCCCGTGTTATTTTGCAGACGGTTTTAGCTGATAAGAGCCATTTGGCTTATGAATAAAGGCAATAGAGGTAGTAAACCTCTTTCTCTAAAAAAAACTCATGGCCGCGGATACTCGACCTCCTCCGACCCAGTCAATGCGGGGAATCCCCGCTTTGACTGGGTATAGGGAGGGTATGGATAAACCCCGCAAAAGGTCCACCTCCGACCAATCAACGCGGGAAATCTCCGCTTTGACTAGGTATGGGCTGGTGTGGATAAAACCCGCAAAAAGGTTGATGGGTATGGGCGAGTATGGTTTTGGACTCCCCGCCCCATACCCATACCCAAGCCCTCCCCACCAAGGATATTATGTTATATGCATAAAATATAAGGAGTTTATGGTAACTTGTCAATGGAATGAAGGGTAATTAAAAGAAAAAACAAAGTGTTAAAATGTAATTGATGGCAACCAAACCCTAATTTCATCCTCTTATGACACGACACGTCCCGTCTCTTTTCAAAAACCAAACCATAACTCAAACCAAAAAACAGTTACTCGATAGCAACCCAAACCACATTTTAAAATAAACAAACCGACATCATTTAAGAATTTTTAACGAAAATCCCCAACACTTGGGCAAAAATTCTCAATCTCAAACACTTAAAACGACTTAACACAGAATCTCCAGTTTATACTAATAACCATGAAACAAAATAATTAACTAATCTAACTTGACTCCTCACGAGCTTTCTGATATCCCGACGACGTTGGTACTGCTGCTCGCCTCGCCCTGCTTCTTCTCATGATCCACTTCTGCTAGACTATCCTCAACCTGGTGAGTGAGAAGGGGTCAGTCTCGTCGTTACTTCCTAAGGTCTTTGCCCTAGGCAAACTCCTTACTAAACACATTATTAGGGGAATTCCTTCCTAGCATGAAAGTCGTTCTCGCTTTCTGCTCTTAATTAACCATTCCTATCAACTCATCTCAACATTAACTCATAAAAGTTCTCGACTTCTATCCTTATCTCAACACAAAACACTAGGACCACCGCGTTAAAATATTATAGCTGCCGCCAATCCTTGAACCCGTGTCACTCCTCCGCCAAACAAGGAACGAAGGTTGTCAAACCGGTTTATACCGTTGTGCCGGTTTGGCAAGTGGAATGGTACGACCGGTGGTATAACCAGTTTGTGCCGGTTCATGCCGGTTTAAAAAAATATGAAAACAATTAATATCCAATGTATCCAATCATATATAAAACATATTTGTGGACAATTTAGTTACAATCCAACAAATATTATCAACTTTTAACTATTACATTCATAAAATGAATAATAAATTAATTTTTTATTCATTAAATTCATTAAAATGATGTCATTTTACTTAAAATGGTTAAGTCGATCATACCGGTCATACCGGTGGTGTCATGCCGGTTTCATGACCAACACAGGTTGAACCAGGTTCAACCGGGTGGCATGCCACCGGCATGACAACCATGCAAGGAACATTACCATTTGGCTACATATGTAACACCCTAACCCGGCCGGGTACTACTTTTACTCAAATCTTAAATTGCAGCAGGAAAAATTTTCATAAATAAAATACTGAAAACTCACTTGAAGTTCAAGGCAAAGCCCTAACACGTGCGCAAATTAAACTCAAACTTTAAAATCTCAATCTGATCTCAAAATAATCTCCAGTCTGTACTCATAATCATAAATGTAAATAACTACTAATCTCTAAGGTTGTTTCCACTGAAACCCTTGACTAAGCATCCTCCGCAACGCTTACACTGCTCTCCTCTAGCTGGCTGGCCTCGAACTCACTTCTCACTTACTACTCCTCTAGCTCCTCCAGCTCTTCAAACTGGTGAGTGAGATGAGGTCAGTCTACGCCCTTACGTTTTAAATACTTATAATACTTGATCACTTTACTTAACTGAGTGGGAGTTGTTTTGTACTTCCACTACTAAAAGCTTAACTCTTAAAACGGTATGGGAGTTACTGTTACTCCACTCTTAAAACTCAAAGCTTGACTTAAATACTTTACTGACACGGGGATCCCTCACTAGCTAGTCCGGTTGCCAACTCATACATATGAGAAGCCATTCAGGCTTTCCTTAAACTTAAACTTAGTTAGAAAAGTCGTAACAATTCATCCCCCTAACATCTAAAACTTATCGTGGTGGCTCTTCGCCACAATTCTCAAGGGCATAACTGCTGCTCATCTTAAATATCTCAAGAGCATAAATGCTGCTCTATCTCAAACTGTCTCAAAAGGCAACGGACTGGCGCTAGTGACTAAAAACACTTAAAACGACTTCACCTTCTTGAAGGTGAGTTACTTCTTAAAAAGAGCTTGCGTCTTAACTTCAACAATAACTTATAAACTTAAAACTTAGATTAAATAAAACTCATGCACAGTCACATCAAGCATGGCTCAAAGAGAATCACATATCATCAACCATAAGCACAAGCAAATAACGGCATTCACTTCATCAAATACTCAAAACTTGTAACTCTTGAAAGAACCCGTAAGGCGTAGAATTTACCCCCTTTACACTCACCTGGTTAAGCGAACACGACCCCTCTTGACTGCAGGCGAACCCACGTCACCATCCAAGATTCCCCGCTCAAAATCCTCGCGCTTTACCTCCTTTTGTTTTTCCTATTTAAAAATTTAGACGAAAACTTAATTTACATTTCTCCCAGCATAATTAGTCAAACGACCTCCAACTTGGTTGATTCCAACCTCAAATTCCTCCATTTGACCCTTCCTAGGCTTTCCTTTAAAATCCTGGAAAATTACCTTTTTGCCCCATAATGGCAATTTACCAAATGGTACTCGAAATTCCTAGGTCTTACCAATTCGGCCCCAATTTCCAGAATTGCACAATCCAGTCCTCCAGGCCAATTTCCACTTTCTGATTTTGACATTCTGGTCCAACTGGCATATTTCCAATTCAACACCCAAACATTTACTAATTGCGAACTCATCCCAAGCCTGGTCAATTACTTTACGGCGCCTAAACATCCAAAATTTTATCAAATTGCCCCAACCCCAAAAAGACATATACGCCCCTGCCTATTCATCACATTTTCAAATTGATGCCATTGGTTTCCAAACAAACAGGAGGACACTCACCTGTATCCTCCCGCCACCGACCTCCACGTTTCCCCGGTCACCGTCTGAGTCCTGCCTCCAGCCGCCATCTCCTTCCTTCTCGAATCCGCTGCCACCATCTTCCTCCGGTTTCGCCCCCCTTCCTCGAACAACGGCACGTCAACTGCCGTCGCTGCTTGGAGCTTCCCGCCGTTGTCAATCCCATCTCCGACCTCCCTTCTCCAGCCGCAGTTTGGAGGGAAATGACGGGTTGCTGAGATTCCTCATCGTTTGGGTGGGTAAGTGTTTGGTCGCCCCGACATTTCCATGTTGTCCTTTACCCTGCCACCGTCGGAGTGGACAGTAACGCTTCTCGCCGTCGTTAAGTTTCCGGCCTTCTTCTTGCGTCCCCGAGCCTGATGTGATCAAAGTACGCAGCTTCAACGATATTTTTATGATTTTCTGATGTCGCCTTTCTTGAACTCGAAAAATAAAGATAGATGCGGAATCAATCGGACAATTCCTAACTCGTGATGAAGGGCAATCGGTATATTAAACCAATCGGACAACACCAACTCGTGGAAAGGGGCAATTGATATAGGGTAGAAGCTCGCCACAACTAGACGCGTTCTCTAGTTGATAAGAGACACGTGAAACCTCTGGAGCACTCTCGACAGAAGCTTGCACAAAGAACCAGTTTGTTTGAACTTGAAACTTGAAAGTTGATTGATAATAGAATGAATTACAATGAGGGACGCATCCTCCTTATATAGGCAACGAAAATCCAATCTTAAACTAAGAAAGAAAGCAAACAAATAACCAAATCCTACAATTAAAAGGAAAACAAAACCTTAAAGGAAAAGTAAAAGGAAAACACAATCCTTAATAGACAAGGAAAAGACCAAGTCAACAACTCCTTAAAATCTAGCCTTCATATCCACCTTCCTTGAAGCCCAAGTTGCCTCCATGCTGGTCCACGAATTGTAGAAGTATAATGGGCTTCCCATGATGTTGGTCCATGTCCAATTGAGCATAATGTCGATCCAAATAAGCAGCAAATTCCTCTCTTAATCTCTTGGCTTGTAGACGAGTAATTGGACCTTCGTGTGATGAATTGGACTTGGATTTGATGACCTCATCAGTCCCTCCCTCTTGAAAAGGATTTGACCTCAAATCCGAGTTGTCCTCCAAATATGGTGCAAGGTCAGAAACGTTGAAGGTTGCACTTATCCCATATTCTCCTGGCAAATCGATCTTGTAAGCATTGTTTCCAACCTTCGAAATCACTTGGAAGGGACCTTCACTTCGAGGTAGCAGTTTGGATCTCCTTTGATATGGGAACCTTTCCTTTCTCATGTGCACCCACACCCAATCTCCAGCTTCAAACGATCGAGGCTTCCTATTTCGATTGACGTTCTTCATGATTTGCTCCGTCCTTCTCTCGATGTTCAATCTTGCTTTCTCATGGAGATTCATCACAAATTCGGCCTTCTTTGCTCCATCCATGTTGACTTGTTCCTTCAATGGCAGAGGTGTCAAATCCAATGGTGTGAGTGGATTGAACCCATACACGAGCTCGAAAGGCGAATGCTTTGTGGTTGAATGCACAGCTCGATTGTAGGCAAACTCGACATGTGGTAGACAATCTTCCCAAGTTTTGATGTTGCTCTTGATCACGGCTCGTAGCATTTGGGATAGAGTACGATTGACCACTTCAGTTTTTCCATCCGTTTGAGGATGACAAGTTGTCGAAAACAGAAGCTTTGTGCCGAGTTTACTCCACAACGTCTTCCAAAAATAGCTCAGAAACTTTGCATCTCGATCGGACACAATGGTATGTGGCATTCCATGCAATCTCACGATCTCCTTGAAGAACAAATCAGCCACATTGTTTGCATCATCCGTCTTATGGCATGGAATGAAATGTGCCATCTTCGAGAAACGATCCACCACCACAAAAATTGAATCCCTACCTCTTCTTGTCCTCGGCAATCCTAGCACGAAATCCACTGAAATGTCGACCCATGGTGCATAAGGAATAGGTAGTGGTGTGTACAACCCAGATGGTTGCATCTTTGATTTAGCATGCTGGCACTCCACACATCTTGCACATAAATTCTCCACATCTCCTTTCATGTGAGGCCAATCGAAGTGCTCTCGCAAACAACTCAATGTTTTGGCTACACCAAAGTGAGCCATCAATCCTCCTCCATGAGCTTCCTTCAACAAAAGCTCTCGAAGTGATGTTCTAGGTATGCACAATTGATTACCACGAAAGAGATAACCATTACTTCTGTAGAATTTTCCTTCTCCATGCTTCTCACAAGCCTTATAAGTCTCTCCAAAGTCGAAATCCCCATCATAAGCACCCTTGATTTGCACGAATCCAAGGTACTTAGCGTCCATAGTAGTGATCAACGTGTATCTCCTTGACAATGCATCAGCAACCACATTCTCCTTGCCTTGTTTATACTTGATTACATAGGGAAACGACTCAATGAACTCCACCCAACGAGCATGCCTCTTGTTCAACTTGTGTTGGGCCTTCAAATACTTAAGAGACTCATGATCGGTATGAATCACGAACTCTTTTGGCCATAAGTAGTGCTGCCATGTCTCGAGGGCTCAAACCAATGCATAGAGCTCCTTATCATAAGTGGGATAGTTAAGCGTAGCCCCACTCAACTTTTCGCTAAAGTAGGCAATAGGCTTCTTCTCTTGCATCAACACGGCTCCAATTCCCAATCCTGATGCATCACACTCCACTTCAAACGTTTTGTCAAAATCAGGTAGCATCAGAACAGGAGCATGAGTGAGTTTGTACTTGAGTAGCTCGAATGCCTTCTCTTGATCTTCTCCCCAATAAAATGCCACATT